GCAGGTTTTTTTTTTTTTTTTGGCCAGGGCTGGGTTTGAACCCGTCACCTCCGGCATATGGGGCCAGTGCCTTACTCCTTTGAGCCATAGGTGCTGCCCAGTATGTGTGCATTTTTAAAATAGTATTTTATATATCAGTGTTGACATGAGAATTCTGATGTTAGGGTGGTAGATGGGAGGGCCATGTAACTAGCAGTTTTTAAATAAGACCTATTTTTCTGAAGCAACGTGCGTTAACATTGATAGGACATAGGGTTTAATTGCCGAGATCTGTTTCTCCACTTCTATGCTGTGCAAAACGTTCCATTAAAGGAGTTTGAAGTTAGTTTGCCAACATAGGATGCCTTTCCTAGATCACTGTTCCCTTCCCGTCTTTGCATCTTTGATTTTTGGCATCAGACTGGCTATTTTTCAGACATTCCTGGGGTTATGATCAAGTTTGATGGGATGTCCAGGTGTGTATAGATCCAGTGTGCAGGTATCCACATATGCGAAGACCCAGGTATCCACGATGCAGGTGCTGGGATGATATCGCCCTAGGGGAGATGTTGAGGAGATTTTGATCTCTTTGCCAGGTGGACTTTATGCCTCCAGAGCTTCTCAGAGAGCTCTCAAAGGCTCAGTGGGTCTTCCCCCTCCATAGGCATGGTTTCCCCCCTGCTTTTGGGCCAGGGTGTTCCCCACAGCACCCCAGGATGCACGATGTGGAGTCTGTGATAACCAGCAGTGTCAGGGAGGTTAGCCAAGGTCAGCTGAGAAACAAGGTGTGCTGTCTCCAAGGTGGCCTTGTGCAAACCCAGTAAATTACAATAAAGATAAATGGGAAGTGTGGGGGGGGAGGGAGCTGGCCAGGCGGGGCACCTGTTTCCTGCCAGCTCAGCTCACTGCCCGGACACCTCTGCTTTCATACTCACACCCTCTGATGTGAACTCTTTTTCTCTCAAGAAGGTTTGTAAAAGGAGCAACATTTATAAAGTGATCACATCTACAATCGTTAACTCTCTTTTATTGTTTCCCATGTCCTGGAGGCCCGTGGTGGTCCCAAAGCACCACTAGCCACTTTGCCCTGTCACCCTAGGGAAAATAGTAAGTGTCACTGAGGACTTGCTGTGTCTCCTCTCTGGCCTCTTACCTCTAAGGTGAGTCCACTGTGATCCTCTGATAGCAGAGGACTCCGAGGCTCACAGTGGGGCCAATTTCATTCATTCGGTGAGCGTTTACCAAAGGCCAGTTGTGCCAGACACTGAGGAGGGAGGTGTGTGCAAAACAGCTCATGGTCAAGGCCAAGGGCCAACAGAGAAGCCAGGAGAAGCTTCGTTGAGATCCAGTGGTATCAGGTGCAGCAGAGAATAAAAGTGTATAGTGACCAGACAGAGGAGGGAAGACCAGAGAGGACCCTGAGCTGGAGGCTCTGGAGGTCAGATTTACACACAGCCCTCAGTGTTCTGAAGAGGGCGTGTTCTTCCTACATTCCCAAGGAATGAAAGGAAAGGTGTTTGAGAGGCCTCCTTAATTTAGTCACTGGGGAAAGCTGCTTTCTGCTGACCTGAACATTAAGGTAAGATTAGCATTAGATCAGAAAATCCCACTTGCTAGAGGACTCACTGTGGGGAAGCCACCCCTGCCCCCTTGGGCTTCCTATCTCTTATCTGAGGCAGATACCGCTCCAGCCCCCTTTGCCTTCCCGGGATGAACGGGTTCATCCTGCTGAGCTCTCTAGAGGATTGGGCCCCAACAGATTGTGTAGCAGCGACATTATCATTCAACTCAAATTCTCAGAGCAACCACCCTGTGTCAGGCAGGGGCTGCACACTAGGGGCTGGGGCGCTGGAAAGATGCACACCTGGTGAGCAGAGATGGGCACCAAATAGTAGGTTTGGAAGACCTGGGAGAAAGACACGTTTAAGATGAATAGGCAGGGTGAAGGACTGGAGTGTGCTGGGTGAAGGGGAGGTGGTGACAGAGAGTTCTAGACAAAAGGGAGTGTGATGCAGAGGTTGGAAGCAGGAAGCAAGGCCACAGGGGGTGGGCCACACAGAGCCTAGTCAGAGAGAACATGGGCTTTATCCCTACTCCAACAGGGGATTGTTGAAAGGTTTTAAGTCAGGGCATGGCAGTCATCCAGTTATTCACAGACGTGCCAACCATCAGAAATACGTTTAACAAAACGGACGCAATCAGATATGTAATTTTAAGAGATCATATTCAGTTACGGGAAGAAAAAGTCCAAGAGGGGATTTTGAGATTGCCTGTACACACAAATCATTAATGTTTCTCAGAAATTATCAATATA